TTGACGGCTAGTCCGTCGCCCACCCTATGTGATCCAGGGTGGGGGTGTGACAAGTTTGGTATTAGAGCCTAGGTTTAAGAATTACTAGAGGATTAAGTTGGATCTGAATGGTTGTGTAGGCTTTAATCGGTTTTAGTTCGAGGGATGCAGAATGATATTAATAGTTAGTAGAATGATTTGTATAGTGACTAAGACTTGTTAATTTGCTTGGTATTTTGTGCAAACAAGAGATAGTTGCAAAAAGGGGTGGTAAGAGTGTCGTAAGAAATGTGACTGACAATAATAAAATTTTAAGATTTATACATTCTTCCGTGTCTACTAGAGTTACAGTGAGATTGGTTGTGGAACCTATGATAACTTCTACGGGTGGTTTTGAGTTAGGAGATGTCGTGTACCCAAGGTGTAGGATCCACATTGGGGGACATTAGTTATTAGTTGATTGAGTTTCTTAAACCTTAGGGGTTTTGATGTGATATTAATATGGATTGGTTAGTCACACGACATGCAACACTTGGTTATTTTGAGAGTCATGCAGATTTAGTTTTGAGGGAACATTAATTATTTAATCCCCAATATTAACTCTACAAGTGCATTCTCGAAAACGAGGTGAGGAAAGATTTTGAGGGAAATATTGCTAGTATTATTGATACACGGAATGAGAGAGTGTCTCTTGAGGAGATACCAATAGAAAAAAAAATTCAAATATATTTTTAGAGAAGTTGTATATGCTACCATTGGAAATAGATAAAATTTACATTTTTTAGTAGCCCTGGGGTATTTTTCTTATATTTATTACTTTGTATCGGATGGTTCTTGCTTAATTAGAGGAATTGAGAATCAATTGAAAATATATTAGACCAAAGATTTATTCAACTTAGTAATTTGTTGTGGGGTGCTCATGTACACAAATAAAATGATGGGATTTATGAAATGTATGTCAATTACTACCAGTTGAGTAAGGTAACAATAAGCAGTAAATATCTTTTACATGTTATTGATGATTTATTTGATCAGTTGTGAGGGGTTAGAAAATTTAGTTAGATTGATTTTAAGTTAGGTTATCTTTAGTTAAAAGAAAGAAATTGAGATATTCTAAAAAACAATATGTGTAACTGGAATAGTTATATTATATTTTTGATGAAGTCATTGAGATTGACAAATGCTATATTTATTTTGATGGATTGACTAAATTGTGTATCTCAATTTTATCTAGATTCATATGTTACTGTATTTATTTGTGTTATACCTGTGTATTCTTGTAGTAAAGAAGGAATTACTCTATTCATGATTTTGGGTTAGATATAATTGTTTTTGTATTGAGGTTATGGAGAGATTGTTTATATCGTAAGACATGTGAGATTTATTTCGATTATTAAAGGTCAAAATATGTATTTACTGAGAATGAGTTTAATTTGAAGAAAAAGAGATGGATGAAAATATTAAAGACTATGATTATTCTATCATTATTATGTAGACAAAACTACTATAATGGTTGTTGATACACTGAACAAGAAATCATTAAGAAGTTTGTATGGTATTCAGTGTACCCGAATGAGTGATTTATTGATTTGAGATTGATAGGTGTACATGTGATATTGACTGATGCATATGTATTATTAGTTCAATTGCAAGTTAGAATCTTTTTGGTAGATCATATAGGTTAGCTACCAAAAGAAAAAAAAAAAAAGAAGGACACATGTTCAGAGTATTAGAAAAGAGGTGTAACATAGTAGCAAGATAGATTTTGTACTTTTTGGTGAGATTATGTTTATATTTTGGAATTAGTTATGGGTACCAAAAGAGAATATGTTGAAGAGAGACATTATAAATGCAACCTATAATTCTATATGCGTCCAGGGAGTACGAAATTATATTGATATTGAGAAACTATTATAGATTGAGTTGCATGAAAAGAAAAATTGTGAAATTGGTAGCCAATGTGTAGTGCATTGATAGATAAAGACTTAGTATCCTTCAGGTTTACTATAACATTTCAAAATTTTGGGTAGAAATTGGAATAAATTACTATGAATTTTCTATAATGACTTTTGGGATACATATTGGACATAAATCTATTTGGGTTATTGTGGATCAATGGACGAAGTCCTATTAGTTTTGGTAATTAAATTTACATTTTCACTTGAAAGTATGCTCAAAGTTAATTAATGAGAGAGTATAATTGTGTAGAATACATTTATCTAGTGTAATAGATAGAAATCCAAAAAGTTACTTTCAGAGTTGACCTAATTTGCAACATGTTGTGGATAACACTTTGGAATTTAGTATAATTTATAGTTCTCAATTTGGCGGGCAGTCTGAGCATACTATTCATACCTTGGCATTATGTTTCGCATGTAGTATACTAGAAATTCGAAGGAAAGTTTAGTTTAAGATATAAATAGACATATGAGATTATAGAGAGGATGGTGATTATAATTTTAAGTTTTGTTCTATTTGCAGACTTGTTTTGGTTTCACAACATATTTTGTGTCAATATGTCCAGGAAATGTGTATACTTGATCCTTCTAATATGTTGGTTGAGTTAGTCTATTGAGATAAAGAACTCTTACTTATGTTGAGGAACCAGTAAATTTTGTATAATTGAACTATTCTGTTGGCCAATGGTCGTGGAAGAGTCACCCAATTGAGAAAGTTTTTGGAAAAGTAGAGAAAACAAGAAAATTTAATATTCTCATTTGTTCTCACAAGGTATATAAATTTCGAGGACGAAATTCTCTTAAAGAGAGGATAATGTAATTACCCATAAAAATTATATATATGTTATTTTATTTTGGTGCATTGGCTACCTAGGAGTAATTATATATATATAAGAATAAAAATAATTTAAAGAAGACTAATGTATCTCTAATAAAAGTCTTGTTATAGAGAGACCTATTAGAACTCTTCTACATGTGTTTTAAATAGGGTAGTATTTTTGAATAGTTAAAACTCTAGAACACCAAAGCAAGTAGCAACAAACAAAGAATATATATATATATATGTCACAAAAAGAAAGAGAAGGAAGGAAGAAAAAAAGAACGAAAAAGAAAAATGGTTGAATCCATTAAAGGTATGGATTGATTACTTCTCTTATGAGTTTTATATTCTTATTCAATTAAATGGTGTAGGGTTTATAATGCTGGTGTTTATATATATATATATATATATATATATATATATATATATATGGTACCTTGTTGAGTATTGAAGTTATTAGGTTGAACTTTAAGTTTATAGTTGTTTGAAATTCATTGGGTTTAATCAATGTATCGGAAAGAAAAAAAAAGAAAAAGAAAAGAAAAAGGAATTTGATTTGAACTGGCAGAATATAAAAGCTGGATGATTTCGTTGATCGAAGAAGACAAAGTCCTGAAATTATATAAACCACACCTTTGACTTTAAAGAACTTTAGTTTGACCTCTATATTTTTGAAAATTTAATTTTAATCACTGTTTTACTTGGTAAGTTTGAATAATAGAATTTTGAAAAATTTATGGCTGTCTAAAAAACAAAAAATTATTTTTTTTAAAGAAATTGTACTTGACCCCAAAAGTTTCAAAAATTATGATTTGACCCCAAAACTTTAAAAAACTTTTTCTAAATAGCTCAAACTACTTCTATACCCTATTACCTCATATTAGAAAGGATAGTTATATGTAAAAGATATATTAAATATATATCAATGGGGTAGGAATTGCGTAAATTAAATATAAAATAACGAAACGACGAAGTTAAGAATAATGATTGATTGTTATATGTTACTTTAGATTAGGTGGTGATTGCATTGAGGTTAGAAAAGAGTGCTTTGAATTGAATTTTGGGAATCAATGTGAGTAATTTATTACTTCTTTTGGGGAAATTTTCTATATTAAATGTGTGGGTGTGTGCCTATGAATTTTTCATATATATAATATATATGTTGATATTGAGGTTGTAATTAAATATTTTATAATTGTGAACTGTTATACAAGTGAATTTTGGAAACTTGTGGGATGATTTTATATCGTTACTTTGGTGATGAAAGGAAAATTTTGTGTGCAATAGGACTAAAACGACAATTTTTGTGTGTGTGCAAATTATGTTTTATGATATGAGGATTGAGTTATCAGATCTAAATGATAACAAGATTGTATACCAATGTGATTGGTATAACGATGTACACATAGTAGCCAGTCATTAGACTAGTGATAACAAGAAACGAGGCTAGTTACCAGACTAGTAGTACTAAGATACGGGACCAGTTATCTGGTTAGTGGTAACAAACATAATTTAACAAATATATTTGGGACTAAATGTGTGTGTGAGTGTTTTGTATTATAAATGTCTTTTCATTTATAAAGTTATTTGTGAAAATGAGTGAGTGTTTTGAGTTATAAATATTTTTTTCATTTATAAAGTTATTTGTGATTATGATATCATTTTGTTTACATAATTATGTGTGATTATGATAAAGTTTATTTTTGTATATAAACTGTGGAATTTATTTTCACGCCTCATTAAATGTGGTTACTATTCACAGCTATTTGTACTCATCCAAACATTTAACATTTTTCAGATGAGGATCAGAGTAAGGAACAAGTCCACAGATAAATAAGGGATTAGAGGACTTGAAAATTTATTTTACTATAGGCTTTTAGGAATAAATGTCTTTTGTAATTTGAGACAAGTATTTAATTATTTTGAAAATAATGTTGCTTATGGTTGGAATAATGAATCTTATTGTTTGATTATTATTTTACATGAGTTTAATACTGATGTTAGTGATGTTTAATTTATTCCTCTGGTATTCATTAGGTCAAAAAAATGAATCACTTTATTATTTGTCTTTCATTGTATTTTACATTTATTATGCACAGGATTTGTTAGTTAAGACTTTAGTGGATGGTCCGCAGCCCACCCTGTCTGATCCAAGGTGAGGGTGTGACAAACTCTGCCCTCAAACTATTAGATAGATATAAAAATGATCAACAGTTTTAATAGGAAAACAGAATATAGAAAATCTTTTATACAACACAACCAATGAATATTTCATTACAGTTCTTCATCTCCTACATTCTACCAGCCTTATCAACTATGGAGACAAAGGATCTCAGTTCAGCTATAGTACAAAATTCCAAAAAAATAGATACAAAAACCTTCATATTTTTCAACAATTCGGAGAAATTAATCATAACAAGCCATAGAGAACCACCACCTTGGGGAGAACAACCAAGAAGAGATGTGAATTGAACAAGGGATACAGGGTGAGCCTTCTGCAGGCAGCAAACCGGAAGCCCAAGTGCGTGAATGCGAGGCGGGAGATTTCAAACCTTTCAAACAAGACACGATTACTAACCACACCCTTTCAACTTGCCTTTTTATCAGATCCTTTGAGGTTGAGGTTGAACCATTTCTTCTTGTTAGATTTATCCTTACCATCTGAGCTACCATCTTCCCCTGGGCTCTCAGCTTTAAAATCTTCACCAGGAACTTTGCTGCTACCCCCATTACTAAAATGACCGCTGCCACTGGTACTAATAACAGACCTTGTGACAGTGAATGAAGAATGGATGCTATCTCTCTCTTTTAACAGCTCATCAACCTGTCTTCCACAAGCCCAAAATGGTCGTTCTTATTTTATCTACTAGTGGCAACTAAAACATTGAAAGAATGGAACTAAAACCTATTCAAGGAGTAGAACTAGAACAAATAACAAAAAAGAGAAAAATGAAGAGTACAGATAGAGGATCAACCAAAAAAAATAAATATTAATAACTACAGTGTCAACTACAAAAAAAATATTTGCCAACATAACCCTTCCCAAACCCCGCAATGGCAAAAGCCTCATGCACCGGGCTGGGTTTTATTTTATAATCGAATATATTTCCAAAAAAATCCTTTGTATACAGATATTAATACAAGAGACAACAAGATGGAAGCCCAAAAAGAGAGACAGAGAGAGCCATTACAGTCAATAATTCTCATAAATATGCCAACTGATACGAGATGCGATCAAATGTAATTAGTAGCAACTAGAAAAATACAACAGCAGTTAAAAAGTTGTTCGGATTATGGCTATTTGGTTTTGGATGTGACTAGAAATACAATGAGCAAATGTCTCTTTTATTTGCTTTTCTTGTTTGGTTTAATGTTGTGGTCCAGAAAATCTACATGTGCGTAAAAATATCCGCATGGGCATCATAAAAAGGCAGCAGAATCTGAAAGAAATGATAGTAAATAAGAGTGCAATGAGCAAAAAAAACTTACAGACTGCTTTTCCTGAGTGTATCTGCTGGTCACCTCTTGGAAACGTGCCAACGCCTACAAAGCATCTCACAAGAATTATATCAGAAAATGTGTGTTGCAGACCCCAGGTAACAACCTTAGATTGAAAAGAATGTAGTTTCACCTTTCTGTATTCTGTCTCAAATTGGCGTAGCTCATTTCTCTTCCTTAGAATCTGACCTTCAATATCCTTAAGCTTATGAGTTGTATCCTCATATGACTTTGTACACAGAGCCTCAATTGTATAAGAAGCAGTTTTAAAGAAATTATCTCCTGCATGAATCAGATTACGGTCAGTTCTAGGGACTTTTCATCCTTTGTTCAAGCAATATTTATATGGTTTTAAAAACCAGTGACCAAAAGGATGAACAGACAAAATAAGCAGTTCAGACCATAAACAGCGAATATGTGAGTGCCAGCTTTTAATTCTGAGACCTCACAAGGTTGAAGGCCTTCCAACCTCTTAAAGAAAGCAGCTTCAGGATCTTTGGCCATTGCTAACTGCACCACGACAAGGAAAAATATGTCACCAAGTAAACGGTAAACCAAGGTGATATAATAACTTTCCAGGAAAAAAATGTGGAGTGACTGAAACCCACATACCGCATTTACAGTTGAATCCATTCTGTAAACTTGAAAATGCAAGAAATACATTCCTGCAGATGTCACCTTGCCAGTCTTCTCACTATCTTCCTGCACATGAGAAAAATATCTCAGGTTTAAGAAGATCAAACACATCAGTCCATTGAAAAGTCAGAAAGCTGACAAAACACAGCAATAAAGACGTGTATCTCTGACCAAACCGGCTCGTGAGATCAATATGGGAAATTTTACAGGGCAGGAGCTTTCAAAACTTTACCAAATCGTAAGAACACGATATTAATTACCAAGATGGTCCCAGAAGCACCCACTGAAAAAAAAAATTAGGAAGCATTACAAGATTTCTTAACCATTACCCAAATGCATTAAGCAGCAGGATGCAACCCAAAAAGGATACCACTTTTGAGTCTCTAATAAGCATGTCTAGATATGCAATGGGGTTTGAAGACTCACACCAGCCCCATAGTAGTCTCGAGTTTTACCAGGTAAAGCACATTCCGGTAGTGCTTATTATGGTTGTCTAAGAAGGAAGGGATGACTAATTTATAAATTAAGGGAAGGTGACAAAGAAGCAGATGGAGAAAAGAACTGAAAAGAAAAGGAAAGGAGGAGAATGAGTGATTATAAACCAAATTTTGCCCCCTTTAATAAGCAGACATGGCTATATCTTTTAGGAAGTAAAGCAATGAAATAGAAATTCTTGCAGGCTGGATTTTATGAAGGCCATGGAGGCAGAAGAGGTTAGATACTGAGACAAAGATCAAGGCATGACAGCAACTGAACTTGAAAAGAAAGTAGAGCGTTTAGATGCACGAATTACTCAAGATATGAAACATCATAGTACCGACAGGAAAAGAGAGACTCATGCAATAAATTCCAAAGTCCATATCCTTGACTAGAATTGGATTTTCTACAAACTTGAAAAGGAATATGATCGCATTCTAGCAAGTCAACTACTTCACCATTATGTGACAGAGACAACCATAACTTCAACAATTAAGAGCCACGCTAGAGTTCACAAACCATAGCATATCTGCTTCAAAGAGACCAAAAAAGGGATGTAATGGCAGCTTAAGTAGAACCTAATACAACAAATGATCATCTTAAACAGTATACCTCTTTTTACCATCATCACATATACTTTAACTACCTCATGCCAAGTTACCAAAAACGGTATTTACCTTGAATTGACAGAAAAAAAAAGGGCTCCATACAAAACTCTACCGTAAATGGAAAAAAATTGCCGTCAAATACCATAAACAATGCAATTAAAAACAACAGAAGAAAATTTGTATGGTACCTGTAATGCCATACCATAGCCTCCATTTGCATCTTGTTCAAAATAAAGTAGCTGGAATTACACAAATTCAGCTTTCAATATTCCAGGTTGCAAGCCATGCCAACACGCACACACACGGAGGGGGAGACACAGAGAGACTTATTTCACATTACAAACTGCATGCAAGTTAATCCAAGAGTTCTATTCATATATCGACCTTAAATTTGCTTTGCACAGCTGATGTAACTCTGACTACAACTCCTGCCTCAGCTTGTTCCTCACTAATAGTCACCCCAAAGAAGTGGGCGCATTGCTTTTCTACCTGCAATAAGACTTAAATAAGCAAAAGTAATACACTTGAAACGTAAGGTCTTGTCCTGCTTCAGAAAAGTGTGCACCTTTCCACTGACTGATGTTCCAATAGGAAGAGGTCTGACTGTGACAGTTCCATTCAAAGCTTCTTCAAGTACACTAGCAGAAATGGTAGTCTTGATCGGAACACCCAGCTTGCTGAAAAAGGAAAAATAAAAAGTGATTAAATGGGTCACAATAATCCTGAAAGCTCCCCAGTTTCAAATAGAAAATCACCTGAATAATGCAGCAAACATTGTATTAACGGTTCCAAGGTTGGATAAATCAATTTCCATATCCATGCCCTCAGCATCAAGAGCCTTATATAATTTAAAATCAAATATCAGAACCATAAGAAGTGACAGGAAACTCTGCACCCGTAAGTTCAAAAAAAACTTGAATGACAATAAAAAAAAATGCATAGAGCGCATCATCATATGCACATATACATGAATGCATAGAGCACATCATCATATGTACATATACATGAATGCATAGAACACATCATCATATGTACATATACAGAATGCTTCAGTGAATAGACAAATGGAAGGGCACCTTAGTAAACAATGATTCTGATAATACAATCGACTTGATAAATTTCCCTTGTACATACTATGCAGATTAATTATACTGAAAACTATGCCTTTTTCTTGAAAAATAGGATGAATGAACTAAATTCTGGGAAAAAAATTTTCATTTGTTCCCTGGTTGTACACAAAATGCGGCAAAGCAATTATGTAGAAGGGTAAAATTTGTGTTGTCAAAGAATCTTGTATGATGGAAGCCAATTTTTGGCTTGTCAGTAATGACCACTCACGACAGGGGTGTGAACAAAGCAAAGCCGCATATAATATAGTGAGGGCGTCCTTGAAAATAGGGCAATCTCCACAGCGCGTGGATGAAGTTTTCCCCATATAAAAAATAAGTATAATCAGAGCTCAAGGTAGTTACACTAGCAATGAACCACTTCACAGCAGAATGTCTAGGAAATGAAGGAGGAAGAAAACTACCTCAAACCCTGCATTATCATATTGCCTTCTTTTCTCCGGGTCGGATAAAATGTTATAAGAATACGCAACCTCCTTGAAAAGTTCTGACGCTTCAGGATTGTTAGCATTCTTGTCGGGATGATATCTGTTCATCATTTAAACCAATAATCTATTCACGCTATCAAAATTATAAGAGACATTGCTGATCATCACCAAATTGATTGAGCAAGCTGTACTGCTGATGGACACAATTTAACCAAATAAAAAATGCATTCAAATTCAACAATTTGGATTCATTGAGTTCTTACAAATAAAAAGAAAAAAGACCATACATGCACCCATTTTTATTTTATTTTTGCTAAATAAAAATTGAGATTAAAGGATAAGAAGTACAAAAATATAATCAAGCACCAGGTTCAATACACGCCCGAAGGCCAAACATAGTAACTCTCAACCTAGCCAACAGAAATAATTAATGCAATACTAAAGTACCTGAGAAGCTCAAAAAAATTCTTTAAAAAAGAACTCGACATTTCACTTATCAATGTTCAATGTCCAACTTCCTTCAACCATCACGAATTAGCCTGGATGGCCAGAGCTTTTATTCCAAATGGGAGGTCTAAAATTTGAACCTTGGCAGTGGTTAGTGTGTATGTGGTGAAAAGAAAAAAACAAAGTTGCCCTTACCCTAAATTCAATCTCCACAAGTAATTTAACAGCTCCCTTCCCCTTTCCCCTCACTCCTTGGGAGTAGGCAAAATGCATCAGTGTATAGCATCAAGAAAAAAAAAAACAACTTCCTTCAAAAATAATCTCTCCAAGATACCAAAATTTGAAGTTGGGTCTCAAACAGGGGCCAAAGTAAACAAATTTCCCCTAAATTTCAATGCCAAAATTCAAATTTCCAAATGTTACAACAGCCTATTTCAATTCTTGAACCCCGTTATCTAATCTATGACCAAGAAACTCACTAAGTAAGAGTCGAGCTTTCAATCGAATACAGTTTCACCATGTTGAAGTCTTATAATCACTTTCTTGAGAAACAAAGGTGAACCCCCAATATATTCAATTCCTAGCCCATCATTTGTTGTTCAACCAATAAACATTGACCAACAATCGAGCTTGAAATATCCAATTCACCGGCCCCCAATTTAGCATTTATAAGCCCCTAACAAAACCTAAAGCATGCTTTATAAACCAGAATCAAGATTTCAATTATTCGATTCCTATTTTTTGAGAAGCATAGGCAAGTCCATGTAAAACAAAACCCAGAAAAGAAGGAATTAACCTGAAAATAACTTACTTGAGAGCAAGCTTTCTATAAGCAGTTTTAATCTCCTGATCAGAAGAATCCCTAGACACACACAACACTTCATATGGGTCTCTCCGAACAACCAGGCCCGATGGCCCCTCCATCTTTGAACCACCACCCATAAACCCTCCCTCTCTCTCAAGAATCTTAACAGCTGAATCCTCTCAACTTTTATGAAACTTTCTTGTCCGCAAATCTGTCAAAAGGGTAGATTCAAAGAAAAACCCATCAGTACCATCAAATAATTGCAACGACCCATCAACAGTTTTCACACGAAATTCAAAGCATTGGATCGCTGCTTCCATAAAATAATATATTGTTGAAAAACATCCAAAGTCAAAAAACTGCGGATCCACATATATACAGGAATATACACGTGCACACAAATAGGTGATACATACACGGGAGGTATATGCATATACACCCCCAACGTGTGTGTATAAAGCTAGGGTTTTTTGAAATTAACAGGACGTGAAAAGAGAAGAAAAGGGTGACCCACCAATGAGAAGCTTTCACTTCTTTTTTTCTCTTGGTTGACAAAACGTAATTTCAGCTAAACAGAAGGTTGTTTCAATTCATCATCAAAGTACCACATGCGAATATAAACAAACTCTAACTAAATTCTGTATAAATACAAACATGCCTAGGTACTTGCCAAAAACCATTTAATTTTTTTTGTCTGATATTATTACAAAAAAAAAAAATACGATAAGATTCAAATATCACCAACCTTCCAAAAAAATTTGGATATCCAAACAATGTTATTCTTTTTTAATAAAAAATAATATTTTATCTATCTTTTCCATTTTTCACCTATCATCATTCTATCATGACAAGCCACGCATAAGAATAAAATTAAAAAACTCGAACTTAATTTGATAAAATAATGGATGAGATCTAAATCTAAACTTTTTGGATTTTTAAAATTATAATCCTTCGATTATGTTAAATTCAAGTATTAATCAATTATTGTAGTTTGTTTATTAAGTATGTATGTATATTCAAATTTGTATTATAACCATGAATTTGAAAAAAATGGGAAAATTTAACTCACACTCTTTGTACTTTATCATATCTTTAAGGATATTCACTTTATTTTTTGAATTTTTATTGCATCCTCCGTCAAATCAAATTAAAGGTTTTAACTAGAATATAATTTTATTAAATTTCCATGATATATTTTAAGAAAAGTTTCATCCACGCCTCGTCTAGATAGACATGTCTTTAATGAGATCCCTTCTATTTTATGAATTTTTTTTACATATTAAAATTTGGGTCGATTAAAATTTGTTTTTAATCGACTCGAATCAAATTTTAATTGATCCGAATTTTGATACGTAAAAAAGTAAGATTTTAATACCAAAAAATAAATTTTAATCAACTTGAATCGAATTCTAATTGTCACAAATTTTAATAAGTAAAAAAATATAAATTTTCAGCTAGAATTTTAATACATAAAAAAATAAAATTTAATCAAATTTTAATATATAAAAAAATAAATTTTAATCAACTCGAAGTTTAATATTTAAAAATATAAATTTTTATCAGCTCGAATTCGTTTGGGGTTTATATAGAGACAATTTTAGTATTTTTAATGAATTTTTTTGTAAAAATGGTGATTTAACTTCAAGGGGTGTTAATGATTTTGTAATATAAATAAGAAGGGGGTGTTAGTGATGCTTTGAATAATAAATGGAGTTTCCTTATAGATATGATAAACTAAAAAGGCGTAACCAAAATTTTCTCAAAAATATACTCAAAGAGGTATATTTCCTGAATAAAAAAATTATAATTATTAAGGAGATAGAGGGAGAGGTTTAGATATCCTTTCGACCCTTGGTTCTAGTAATATTTATTTTACTCTAACATTTAGCATTGCATCTATTATGACTTAAGCAATTAGAAATACAAAAACAATATTTTCATGCTAAAATAAAATTATGTATCTCTAACTCTTTCCAAACTCTTTAAAAACGGGAAACTCATGGATTAAACCGCCTTTTAGTTATGTCCCATATAGTAGGGATCTAATTCTTTTAATTTCCATGGCAAAAAATCCAAAATTTTAGATCATATAGACTTCCTCAGAATTTGAGTGCTGCTAAGTTGAGAGAGTCTCATAATAGGGAGATATTTTTGTNATATCCAAACAATGTTATTCTTTTTTAATAAAAAATAATATTTTATCTATCTTTTCCATTTTTCACCTATCATCATTCTATCATGACAAGCCACGCATAAGAATAAAATTAAAAAACTCGAACTTAATTTGATAAAATAATGGATGAGATCTAAATCTAAACTTTTTGGATTTTTAAAATTATAATCCTTCGATTATGTTAAATTCAAGTATTAATCAATTATTGTAGTTTGTTTATTAAGTATGTATGTATATTCAAATTTGTATTATAACCATGAATTTGAAAAAAATGGGAAAATTTAACTCACACTCTTTGTACTTTATCATATCTTTAAGGATATTCACTTTATTTTTTGAATTTTTATTGCATCCTCCGTCAAATCAAATTAAAGGTTTTAACTAGAATATAATTTTATTAAATTTCCATGATATATTTTAAGAAAAGTTTCATCCACGCCTCGTCTAGATAGACATGTCTTTAATGAGATCCCTTCTATTTTATGAATTTTTTTTACATATTAAAATTTGGGTCGATTAAAATTTGTTTTTAATCGACTCGAATCAAATTTTAATTGATCCGAATTTTGATACGTAAAAAAGTAAGATTTTAATACCAAAAAATAAATTTTAATCAACTTGAATCGAATTCTAATTGTCACAAATTTTAATAAGTAAAAAAATATAAATTTTCAGCTAGAATTTTAATACATAAAAAAATAAAATTTAATCAAATTTTAATATATAAAAAAATAAATTTTAATCAACTCGAAGTTTAATATTTAAAAATATAAATTTTTATCAGCTCGAATTCGTTTGGGGTTTATATAGAGACAATTTTAGTATTTTTAATGAATTTTTTTGTAAAAATGGTGATTTAACTTCAAGGGGTGTTAATGATTTTGTAATATAAATAAGAAGGGGGTGTTAGTGATGCTTTGAATAATAAATGGAGTTTCCTTATAGATATGATAAACTAAAAAGGCGTAACCAAAATTTTCTCAAAAATATACTCAAAGAGGTATATTTCCTGAATAAAAAAATTATAATTATTAAGGAGATAGAGGGAGAGGTTTAGATATCCTTTCGACCCTTGGTTCTAGTAATATTTATTTTACTCTAACATTTAGCATTGCATCTATTATGACTTAAGCAATTAGAAATACAAAAACAATATTTTCATGCTAAAATAAAATTATGTATCTCTAACTCTTTCCAAACTCTTTAAAAACGGGAAACTCATGGATTAAACCGCCTTTTAGTTATGTCCCATATAGTAGGGATCTAATTCTTTTAATTTCCATGGCAAAAAATCCAAAATTTTAGATCATATAGACTTCCTCAGAATTTGAGTGCTGCTAAGTTGAGAGAGTCTCATAATAGGGAGATATTTTTGTATGAGAGTACTACACACAAAAATATGGAGAGTTTCATAAAAAGCACCACCACCACCACCACCACAATCATGCAAAAGACCAGATAAGGCACCACCACCCCCCAAAAGACCACCAAACCATGTCTAGGCCAAAAAAATCCACCGCAAATACTTTGTCAAGACCCACAGTGTCACCACCCCCACCACTACAGAACCGGATCAATGCTAGAAAGCCATGAGCCATCAAAACCCAAGATTGGCCAGTGCATTGCATTCTATGAAAAGGATGGGTTGGAGTAGGTTCTTTGGAAGATCATTGCCGCTCAAGCGTACTCTTTCTTCATCGTAAGCCAAACTTAAAAGCCTTCACCACAAGATGCCTCAGTGGAGCTGTCAATCCCAGAAAGGGGAATGTTCAAGTAGGGGTGTACCTTGGGTAGGCCAACCCAAACTCAACACGAAAAAAATAAAGTTTCGATTGAATTTTTAATACTTAAGTCTGAGCTAAAAAACACCAATTCAAAATAAATTCGGATAATACCCAAGTTACCAGATTCAACCCAAATGTATAAATCGGACTCAACCCGAACGTATTTAAAAATAAATATATAAATTAATAGATTCAATAGCATAACTTACAACTAGGTTCAAACTTCACAATTCACTTTAACAAACCCAATCCAAATTCTAACCTGAATTAAATAACTCTAACCCAACCTAAATTCTAACCTGAAATATATAACCCGAATTCAACTGAAGTCCGTTCAAATTCAACTTGGATAGTACTCAAGTTAAGTATCTCGGATTGAAGTCGAATTAGAGTTGAAAATTATATACCTAAAGTTGAACTAGAATTGACCCTCAACCTGTCAACCCGCCCGAGTTGCACCCTTAAGTTCAAGGAAACTTTTCTTCAAACTGGGCAAAAAAGGACTTTCAGCAAAATCTAATGAACACGGCCTAATGTGTGACTGCTCATTGCTCTTCAAGTATTTAATTGATTCCCTCTGCATAATCTATCTCTGCATTTACCGCCAAGCATATCAAAGACACAAACACAAAATCCATGCGTTAACAAAACAACAGTAACTATAGCCTCGTATATTGATGGGAATAACCACGTTCTGTGTATGCGGAGTTGGTAAAAGTTTTTGGGAAAATTGCAGGTGATTTACAAAGCCGTATATGATTGGTAATAACAGATGTATTTACACGACTAAACCCCCTTGGAAAGGCCAAACGTCCTTCATTATGTCGAGCAATTAGGGTTTGAGTCAATCTTGATCACTCTGGTATTGTACGATCCACAGAACCCGCACTTGTGATACAGCCAGTGAAACGATGCAGTTCCCTTTTTATCACAGTCATTACACAGTATGTCCTGGGTAACACAATGTAAGTTTTATTCATCAACAACGGAAGGCAAAAGGGTGCCAAGAAATAGATATTCTTAGGAAATATAAGATGTATGATTTACCTGACAGCGGTCCCTGTATTCTTCTGGAAGCTCCTCTGAAGCCATTAAAGCATCAAGCATGCCAAAGTACACCTGAATAAAAGAACACGAACCTCAATATAAACTTCATACAACTAAGGGTGTTAATCGGCAATTTAAGCTTTGTCGATGAATTCTTGCTAATGCTCGGTACGTTTTTCTAAATTCTAGTTATGGATTCAGTAAATCGCATATGAATTTTCGTTTATTTTTCTCCCATACAATGAATCAAAAAAACTGACCTGTACTCACAACATGATGGGGCATACCAAATTGTTCGTCATGACAGTTCATTGTGCAAATGATGATTATTGAAAACATCGTATGCCATCATACATGCAAATCAAACTATAAAAACAATACACCACCAGCGGAGTGAACCAGGACAGATATGCAATGTAGTGAACAGGAACAAACATGCCCTTAACACTTAAAATCCACAAAACATAAAACAAACAAAAAAACAAAGAAAAACAAATAATTGCAGGGTACAGCAGGATTGGTGATGAATAGAAGTGCTTGGTTCAGCAATGATGAGGTATAGAGTCAAACATGGGAGTGAATAGGGACTCTTTGGAGGCATTGGGGCTGAACTAGGAGATAACTAGGTTACGGTGTTGTTGCGCAATAAAATAGAAGGATCTCGAGAGGTAGTGTGAATTATGAGATTCCGGTGAATAACGGCGTCGGAGTATTGTTGTATCCAAATGTTTCACCAATGAAGTCATAATAGAGAGCATTATAAAAGAACTTATTCTCCATGTAGTTTGTTTAAAGGTCTTGGAAGGCTTGATAAAGGTGTCACTATTTGCAATTGTGCCATCATTGTTGCATTTTGGGTTATTATTTGGAAAGAAAGAAATGAAAAAAAAAAATTTAGATCATCACAAGTGGTTGGATGGGTTATGAAACCGTATTCATTATTAGCTTCATTTTGGACTTCAAGTTATGCCAGAAAGTCTCTCTGTGTCGAACCTTATCTCAGTTACAAAAGAGATACTCAAGACTGTGAAGCCCCGTACTAGAGCAGTTAGGGTTAGGAAGGAAAGTCCCAAATGCCTAGTTGTACATACTGTCTTGTTCCGTAAGAATTTGCAATAGAAAAACTTCTGTTCGTTGTAAGATTACTGAAGGAAAGGTTGATCATAAATTTGTGGAGTTTGCTTCTACACAGAAACTAAGACCTTCGAGAACCAATATTGGACCAGGAAGAAAAATGGGAAAATTCCTTCTACCACCATCACTTCGTGACTCACTTGATCAAACGGGAGTTTTAGTTCCGGAACTAGTGTCTGCTCATGAAATCACTGCTTTTGCAGCTTGAAAGCTTGTCTAAAAGTCTCAATCTTTCTTAAGTTAAGAAGCCGCATGTGAAAGTTCGCCTACTACTCAAATTCCTTCCGGTGAAGCCAGGAGAACGGTGTAGAGAGACAGCATAGAGAAAGGCACTTTTTACATCCATCCGCCGTAGACGCCAGGACTTACTTGTTGCTAGAGAGATGAGCACTTGCATAGTAGTCATCTTTGCCATTGGACTAACCATCTCGCCATAGTCTTTCTTTTTAGACTTTCTTTAATGCTCAACAATTGGCTCTCTTCTAACGATAACTAGCAAATTTCTATCTTGTTTTGCCACTCATATTTTATCATCACAATATTTTTCAAAAATTTCCCTCAATATTCTACTCCTGACTACTCATAGTAAGTTACATTTTTGCAAAATATTTGAGATTTTGATAGAATGACAGAAAAGGAGTTCTTAGAAAAGGAGTTCTTTCGTATCAAAGAATAATATTCATTACTTAAAATTAAAATGGTTCTTTCAAGCATTCATTGAGAGGAGACAAGACACTTGTTTCGAATTTAACCAATTGAGATATCTGGAAACCCTAGTTACTAATGATATCAAAGGAGTTCAGCTTTTTATTATTTTACTAGGATGGAGGGAGAGTTGTGATTTAGGATTGTTATGTGTGTTTTTTTCTCTTTGTTTTTTATCTCTTGGTTGGATTTCTCATCCATTCTTTTTGATGTATTTCTCAAATTTTATTAGCATAAGAGTTTCGTTTCCTATCAAAAAAAAAACAAGAAGGAAAAGCTTCAGCTTACCGACATATCTCCCATAGATTTGCTACAAATTGGGCAGATGTAGTGAGTGCAAGCATAAGCCTGATGGAAAAAGAAGATAAGAGGCATGAGTATCAAAAGTTCACAAAAATAATTTTCCTTGCACCAAGGGCCAAAAAATTCCAAAAAGATAAAGGACAGACCTGGAAGCAAGCTGAATGCATATAATGGCCACAAGGAAGTGCTCTGACAGTTGCGCTGGAAGTGAATAAAAAATCACAGCATATGGGGCAATTTGCTTCCAGACCTTTCTCCCTGCACTTGTGGTCCACTAATTTCATCCCCAGGCAACAATTGCAGGTCATGCAATGGAAGAAGTCAACACCAAGACCCTTCCCAAGACGGCATAAATTGCAAAAAGGGCAGTGATAAACTGTCCTGAATTCACCAAACAAAAGGATAGTTCAGAAAATAAATGTCAAAAATCTAATTCAACAGCAGTTACCCTGTCACATCATCGAAACTACAACCACATGCTTAACATAAAAATATCAGTGCTTTAAGACATTCCCCTCACTTTCATGTGTTATCAAAATTAGTGCAACTTAGCTGTTAATCTTTTACTGAGATCATATAATGAGAGGAGGACAAGCAAACCAGGGAAAAAAAAGAAAGGAAAGGGGTAGAAAGTTGTAGAGAAAAGCCTAATCACCTTTCGTCATCAAAAAACTTGCAGCTACTGCAGTAGTATTTAGCCATCGAAAGTCCATTGCATGATGGTGTTGAGCAAATTGGTCCAATTGGCTGAACTTTCAGGCAGTTCATACACATCATTTCAGATGTAGCCTTCCTACAGATAAATTAGATAAACATTGAATACTCATAGGGGTTGTTTGGTATGTGGGTTTGGGGGGGGGGGGTTTCGAACTAAACCCCCTTAAACCCATGTTTGGTAACTGCGTATTTAGCCTGGGGTTTGAAATCCGGCCCGGTCATGAAACCCTTGTTCATGGGTTTCATGAAACCCATGGGGGGGTGGGTTTCATATATGGGTTTGGGGATTTCACATTCAAATGACAGTTATACCCCCCATATATCCATACCCATGTTTGGATTAGTTTGGATTAAATTAGTTAAGGGGTACAATAGTCATTTAAATAAAAATTTATTATCATAATAGTCATATATCCCTGCGCATACCAAACATGAGTATGGACAGCATTGAATATTGAATCCCTTCTTTGAATCCCATTTTTGGTCAAACCCGGGTATAGACAAGCCAATCCAAACCCTTCCCAAAAAACATACCAAACATGCCCATAAAGTCCAAAGTCCTATTAGAATAAAACACATGTAACAGACAAAAGTTACCTTTCCATAGAATGGTCGCTGACATTGTCATGGCAGAACCTGCATGTAAATAACTTGCCACAGCAAGCAGCCCGGAGTTTGCAGTTTCGTTTGTAATGCTCACACCCAAATACTTGTTTCTCGATGTCACAAAATGATGGAGAACATTCAATTAGATCTTTGTCGGAAGTTTCACCAATCCTTGCTTGAGGTGACTTCTGTTGGGTAGCTATCCAGCGGCTACCAGGACCAGTATGTTGATCAGGGTACTTATAATATAATAACCAAACAAGAAGAAAAAAGAAAAGCGCGCAATAAAAAATCCCATAAGATGGTTAAAACAAGGAAGTACCTGGTCATCAGATTTTGAATGAGATAGGCTTTTCTTCTTGGATCAATAGTTGGATCCCGAGAAACCTTTCTTATCTCTGATTCAAGCTCATTTTGATTCATTCTGAAAATATCTTTCCAGCCAGGCTTAAAAGTTTGATCACTTTGGTCCAGCGCTTCAAGGACATCAATGCCTGAGAAGTGTAAATTTCAGTAACAAGAATGAGAGGACTTTGCAATCTGAAATCTTCAGTTAGTCATAATTTAAGCCTTTACAATCTGAAATCTTCAAAGTTATTAATAATTTAAGAAGCAAAAAGTAACCTAAAACATGAACCATATTGAGATGTAGACCATAACTTAAAACTAAGCAGCAGAAAATATAAACATTATCAGCACTGCAAAGGCACACAAACCTTGTAAAATACTACTCTCTGCTGTTGATGTTTGTAAAGATGCAGCAGGAGTTCCTTCCCACCATTCGTTAAGCCATTCACTGAACATTGTGTTTTTGGTTGCTTGCTTCCATGTGTCCATCATCTTATTCTGCTCATCCTGAGTAAGAGCAGATGTTACCCATGGCAACATTGATTGGAGCACCTCTGCACCTGTTGTACCAATTATACGTCCAACAAGTTTGTCCTGCTCCTCCACAGAAAAATGCCTATCAAATAATGGCCAGAGCTCAAGTTCTTCACGGAAAACATGCTGATCCAGGGTTACCCTAATGGATTTGCACATGCCTTGAACCTTTGTGGCAAGCTTATTGTACTTTCCCAGATTATGATTACAATCAGAAGAATCAACGATATTTCCACCTGAATGTTCCATCAGATTTGTGCTATTCAAGTATTCATGTAGTTGAGAAAGCTCAGAAAGTGAAACCGAAATATCCTCAAATAGCTTCTCTTCCTGCTTGTGATCCAAGGTGTATGAGTGGCTAACATTATGAAGCGTTTCTTTTGATTCTAATGCAGGGAACACTATATCATCTTCTGCATTACTATGAGCTCTATATAAGCCCCATAATAAACGGAATCTACCACTAAACTGCCTAAGAAAAGTCTCATTACAATCATTAAGTTTTCCAGATTCAACATCCAGATACTCGAGGTCTTTGCGGATGGCTTTATGAAACTTAAAGATGTTATCAATCGGTCTTGTTGCACATCCAATGTTGCTTGAGCTTATATCTGTTTCCCAATTGAAAAGACTAGAGAAAAGTGTTGGAGCAGAAGGACCAAATGACAAGGAACGCAAAGATTTCACTGCAGCAAGAGAGCTACCCAAATTGTTGCTATTCACTCCTAATCCAGGAACACAACAAGATTGATTACTATAAGGTACTTTCTGCATATTCATTCCCAAAGGATCACAAGAACCACTATCTTCCCGTTGAATGGAGTTTCCCTGTTTAACTGGCCGTTTGTTACCATCAACTTCATCAAATGCAAAATCTTCCACAGAAGTAAACAGAGAGGTGCAAGCACAACAGGGTCTATCTAAATCACCTTTAGCTTCAGTCAGTACTTTGGCTGGACAGCAACCAATTGCGCTTAAAGATAAACAAACATCCGTAGGACGACCTTTACATGCCCAACCAGAAAATAGGGTGACCAGTGCAGTGTCTGATGCTGGAGCTGCACAAGATAATTATACATAGAAACCATTGAAAATCATGCACAGCACCTCGACCTTCACAATCCACAAGTGAGTACAAACGCGATAGCAAATTAATATAGAACCTTAAGAAAGCAGTAGAAAATAAATATAGAACCTGCCATATGCATATTATGAAGAAAAGATCTTGCTTCTTCTTCACTAAGGGATCCTACCAACCACGGCAAGACACACTCAATCAGTCTCAAGGGCATGACACATAAGCTTTGATATAGAAGTTCGCGCTGTCGTTTGGGGCTAAAATGATTTCGCGCAAGTGGAAGAACCTACAGATGTAATGTATTATGTAAGAAACCGCACAAGGTGTTTGGTACCAAACTTTAAGTTATAAACGCGAATTGACAACATTGCATAACATCCACAGATCTAGATGTAAGTATATCAGGAAATAAAGAAAAGCACATGAGCCCTTCCCCTACACAAACAGAACTTGCTTTAGATGCCATCCACCGTAGTTCTACTATTTTACATCCATAGGATACGCTTCTACGGAAATAATCATACAAACACAAAGATCTCTTGCTCCAAAAATTTCACACCTGAACTTCCTCGTTGTAGAAGTGCTTCTCTATGGTAGCCATTATATGATCAGCATGAGAGCACAATTTTGTATAAAATTCAACAGAAGATGAATTAGCTCCAGCATTTTCAATAGTTTCTATTAGGCATCTAAACTTTTCAAATTCACTTTCTTCTTCCGCATGCTCCTGGGCAAAAGAGACTTCGCCATCCACAGCAGGGAATATAACTTGGTCTTCAGCAATGCTGAAATAGAAGTAACAAGAGTATTATATCAGAAAACATGGGCAGGCGACGTGACGGAAAGCAAGCAATGTTGCAACATATGAACTCGCAAAATTTGCCATGATTTTTTCATTCTCCTAAGATGGGACTGAAGACATGAGAAGGTGGCTATTCTGCTTCATTTCCCCTGTTTCGCAGGAGTGGTAAGTTGTGAACAAGCAAGGCAAGCTGCAGTGAAAGATTAGAACGTTCATTCCACTCAAAACCTCCAAAAGTAGACAATAGCCAAGATGCTATACAATTAAACATCTTGCTGCTCAGTATTTTCCAAAGATGTGATTTTGGACTCTTTTTTATGGAAAATAAAAATCTTAAAATGCTCAGACCCATGGTGCTCAAGCATAGGACAATTTATCATGGCATCCAAGAGAATTAATAACCAATAGCAGAATTTCCTTCTAAAAGGCACATAATATACCCAATCCACCATCCGGTCATTGTATGAAAGGAAATTATCTGTCACAAGAATGGACCAGTGAATGGAAAAATATCAACAGAACTATACCTATGAAAAATGCAAACTTCTGCAATAAATTGGAGCCTCTTATTGAATGCAGATAGGTGAGAAAAATCTCCAGATAACTCTATCCCTCTGGCTGCTTCAGCTATATCATTCAATTCTCTTTTGATAGCCTTATGCCAGTGCAATATTTCATCTACTGGTCGGTTCAGATTGGACTCCGCAAGATCACAATTCAACTCCCCACAAACTCTTTTACCAGCCCTGGAAGATCCACAAGCACAATGCCCTTTCTTGATCGGACTTCTTAAGGGGCTCACCCCATTATCCAGATAACTTTGACGTTCACAACCATCTTCACAACTTTTGCGCTTGTTATTAATCTTTGTCCCATCCATCCACGTGAATATGACCTTTATTAACAGAAACTTAAGTAAGCCAAAATATGACATAGAGCTGCAGATATCTCTGCACACTCAAGGGACCCTCACCTGTTGAAGAAGTGGCTCTTCTGGAATTATTCTACACAAGCATTCACGCATATCCTGACACTCATCAGAGGAAATGGAGGATGAAAGCCATGGCAGAAACTCGGCCATCATATTTACTGGAATGCTGCACAAAAACTGCCACACCAATGATGCCTGCTCTTCAAATGAAAACTTTTCAATAAGCAAAGGAAACACCTGCAAAATAAAAAGAAATGTACTTCTGTAAGAAGTTTTGACCTTGTACAGATCATTAGAGAATAAAGGAAAGTCAAGACCTGTGAATTGTGGCATAGTACGAAAGCTACACACCCTATTTTCTAGGGGCACAAACTCAACAAGTACACTGCAAAAAAGGAAAAGCTTTTTTTTTGTTTGTTTGCATTTGTTATATATTAATAAAATTGAAGTAGCTCAATGAACGATCCACAAAACCCAGGGAAGGCAAATACATACATGCTACCATCCTAGTCATATCAAAAGAGCACTGCTAGGGATCCCAAATTTTGTATCCCAAATGCGTAGGGACACAATCTTCTTCAGAATGATGCTGACCAATGCACAACATCCTCCATCGCACTACCTTATGCACAATGCTCCACCAGTTGTCTGGTTCACAATGTGCCCAATGAAGAACAGATACATGAACCATAAACCAATGCTAGCACCTAAAATATGAGAAGATCCCGTATCTTGAAAAACTGAAGATGCTCATCATATTGTCTACAATGAATATCATATGGATAAGACAATAAAACTAAATACAAAAAAAAATACCTGCTCCTCTTCCTTGGACATGTGCTGGCTAATTGATGTTTGAATGGCTCCTGTACAAGAGGCTAACTCTCTCCTGTAGCTTTCTTCATTTGGTATATTTGAATCCAACAGGGCAAACAACTGATCAAAGAGAATACTTTCTCCCTCATGCTCAAGGGAGTAAGTGCGTGCTACATTCTTCACACGAATGTCGAGAGATGGAAAAATGACCTGCACTCCCAGATTGGGGAAAAAATTATGCACGTCACGTTTGATTTATAAACTGATAACTGGAGAAAAGGTGCCGTTTTGGCTCCAAGAATGGATACAGATCCAAGTATCCAATCACCAACTGAGGAATGCAACACCACATCCAATGAAATATGCTTGAAAATCATCATTTGGGGGCAAAGGTAAAGTCAAAAACATCACAATGTTATAACTAAAAAAGTTAAAAGATGCAAAACAACACGTTGACATCAAGCAACCGAAGCATAGAACACAAAATTCAGGAAATTATGTACTATAATCACCAGAGCAGGAATTAAACTAAGTTGCCTTCTTATTTTAGGTCTAAAAACTAATGCACGAACACTATTCAGAGGCAGCTCAAGATTAGAATTTAATAATCAAAGCCGATTATAACAGCTAAACAGAATTGATGAACTTCCCAATCTCGAATTTTTCAATACCAAAATATATGATGTCAGCTACCATAATCGGCGAAGGGTAAGAAATGCATAGGATGAATTTTATAGCCCTAATCTCTGCACATCCATCGCACAAACAACAAATCCAACAAAACAAAGCAAATACGATTCAAATAAGAGTTCAATTGAGGTAAAACAAACAAAAGATTTTTTTTCCAATTTCCACAAATTTATCCAACTCATTTTGGTTCACAATCAATGTCTAGGGATCGTAATTTCCCAATTGAAACAATTGCCACACACACCTCATCCTCGGCATTGCAGTGGTGCTTGTAAATCGACCTAAGGAAGTGGTACCGCACCAACAAGGGCTTAATATCACCGTTCTGATCCGTCGCAAAAGCTATGGCCGCTCTATGTAGCCTATCGAGCTCGGACCGTATGGCTTTGTGGAAGAACAAAAATATGCGAATCGGCGACGAGCTATACAAGCAAGAAGGCTCGTTGCCTGACGATCCAGATTGATCGAGCTGGTTCACCGGTCCGGCCATTACCGCTACGCCACCGTTCTGAAGCCCCGATAATGGCGTCGCCATTTTATTATATAGCAAACACAAAAACGAAATCTAACACAAAAAAGAAAGTCTATGACTATGATTCAGATTTCATAAAACCTAGATATATGTCCCCCCTTTTCTGAAATTTCCTCTCCTCTCTCTCTCTCTCTCTCTCTCTCTCTCGTGTATCTACTACTTTCTCTCTCTATATGGCTATGTAACGGACAAAACAAAAGCAAAGGTCTCGTTGTTTCTCTATCTCTCTGTGGAACGGAACGGCAAGAAATGGTAAATCCGACGGATAAAGAGGAGACAAAATATAATTGGCCACGGGGAATGAGGTGCCACGCTGTTTGGTTCGCCACGTGTGCTCGAGATGATGGGGGACTGTTTGGTTTGTCGAGTAAGGTTCCACCGAACGTGGATAGATTTGCATGATGGATCCCATATAGGGGAGCATTACGGTCATTTCCCAACCACTTTCCTTTTTATTTTTGTCCTTTTGTGCGTGGGTGAAAATGAGACGATAATTACCGACTATTAAAATTTTATTACGGTTCATTTCAGTTACCTAAAAAATTCAAATATTTTTAAAATAAATAAAAAATTATTTTAGATAAAGTTAAAATGAAAAAGAGTAGAATAATATAAAATAAAATATAAAACATGTTACAATTTTATTGTATAAAAATAAAAATATAATATTTAAAATTTATTTTTTGATACTATAAACTTGTATTTAGGGGGTTGAAAATTGAAAAGGCACGGAGGGAGCGCATGGAGAGTAAGTAAAGGGGCGTGTTAATTAGTGGCTGGCACGGGATATATCCGTGCCGTCACAAGACCATTCGCTCCATCAGCATTGAAAGGGCACGTGTAGGACCTGGGACCACCGGGGCATTGAACCCTAGACCGCGACGGGATTTGTTCACATGTAAGACCGCTCCTTTCGGTCCACCTGCGCTGGATGATCAGACCCGGCGTCTGAGTGTGTGGGTCCCTTTAGTAAAAATATTGACAAAGTAGTAACGGGCACGTCGTTATAGTGATATTACCATCAATTATCATCAATTATAGCAACGTTTAACTAAGTTGATGCAACTATAATTAAGCTGGCTGGTAATGGATCAGGAATGATTTGGTATTCAATTTATATTCAACTCATTTCATAGAAAGTTAGGATGTGTCGTGGTCTTTCATTCCTTTGTGAGGTCGTTTTGCTTTGGAATGACGCGTGAGTTAGAAATGATTGTTTTGTCAATGAAGTAGTATGGACGACGTGAACATCTGTATATGAGGTTGTTATTGGATAATCTAAATTCCTTTGATTGAGAATATAAATGAGCAATCCAAACTTTTTTTATCTAATGATAGATGTAAAGCCATGAGGTCAAGAGATAAACCTCATCCGTCAATTCTTTTCACAATTCAATTACTTAAATATCCTTTTATTTATTATTGATGTTTTTTTTGTGTATCATCAATAATTTTTCATCTTACAATTTCAAAAGATACGCTCAAAAACCAATTTAATCTANTGGCTATGTAACGGACAAAACAAAAGCAAAGGTCTCGTTGTTTCTCTATCTCTCTGTGGAACGGAACGGCAAGAAATGGTAAATCCGACGGATAAAGAGGAGACAAAATATAATTGGCCACGGGGAATGAGGTGCCACGCTGTTTGGTTCGCCACGTGTGCTCGAGATGATGGGGGACTGTTTGGTTTGTCGAGTAAGGTTCCACCGAACGTGGATAGATTTGCATGATGGATCCCATATAGGGGAGCATTACGGTCATTTCCCAACCACTTTCCTTTTTATTTTTGTCCTTTTGTGCGTGGGTGAAAATGAGACGATAATTACCGACTATTAAAATTTTATTACGGTTCATTTCAGTTACCTAAAAAATTCAAATATTTTTAAAATAAATAAAAAATTATTTTAGATAAAGTTAAAATGAAAAAGAGTAGAATAATATAAAATAAAATATAAAACATGTTACAATTTTATTGTATAAAAATAAAAATATAATATTTAAAATTTATTTTTTGATACTATAAACTTGTATTTAGGGGGTTGAAAATTGAAAAGGCACGGAGGGAGCGCATGGAGAGTAAGTAAAGGGGCGTGTTAATTAGTGGCTGGCACGGGATATATCCGTGCCGTCACAAGACCATTCGCTCCATCAGCATTGAAAGGGCACGTGTAGGACCTGGGACCACCGGGGCATTGAACCCTAGACCGCGACGGGATTTGTTCACATGTAAGACCGCTCCTTTCGGTCCACCTGCGCTGGATGATCAGACCCGGCGTCTGAGTGTGTGGGTCCCTTTAGTAAAAATATTGACAAAGTAGTAACGGGCACGTCGTTATAGTGATATTACCATCAATTATCATCAATTATAGCAACGTTTAACTAAGTTGATGCAACTATAATTAAGCTGGCTGGTAATGGATCAGGAATGATTTGGTATTCAATTTATATTCAACTCATTTCATAGAAAGTTAGGATGTGTCGTGGTCTTTCATTCCTTTGTGAGGTCGTTTTGCTTTGGAATGACGCGTGAGTTAGAAATGATTGTTTTGTCAATGAAGTAGTATGGACGACGTGAACATCTGTATATGAGGTTGTTATTGGATAATCTAAATTCCTTTGATTGAGAATATAAATGAGCAATCCAAACTTTTTTTATCTAATGATAGATGTAAAGCCATGAGGTCAAGAGATAAACCTCATCCGTCAATTCTTTTCACAATTCAATTACTTAAATATCCTTTTATTTATTATTGATGTTTTTTTTGTGTATCATCAATAATTTTTCATCTTACAATTTCAAAAGATACGCTCAAAAACCAATTTAATCTATATTATGAATAAAAAAACAATCAAATTAGAAAAAAAAAAAGTCATAAATTGTTGAATAGCTAGAATCCACTGGGGGAGATGAGGAGGTGAATCACTTCAAGCCTACATAGTCTAGCATAATTCAGATAAACCTTGAATGCCTAGAAGGAAGTGGATAGCTCAGAAGCGACCAGGAAGGGCAACATGACAATGAATGTGAATTGTTTTTGTTTTTTGTTTTGTTTTGGGTAACAAATTAAAATAATGTTAAATGGTCAAAATTTGGATTGGGGCAGATATGATAGTCAAAAAAACCATCCCTTTTTATAACAACATACACATTATCTAAAAATGTAGTCAGTTTGTTGTTTTGAATATTCAAATTGGAGACTCATACCAGGCTTAGATTTCTCATTGTGCAAAGTTGGGTTCAAATTACATCAAGGACAAGTCCCCCTCCCCCTCCCCAAAAAAAATAATAAAAAATTGTATCAAGAAAAAAAGTTCATAAGAATTTTCAAAATTTTATCTTTCCTTTTTTTGTCTTTATTGCTTGAGATTAATTGCACTGGAGGTCTCTAAAGTATGAATTTTGTCTCATTTTGGTCCTTAATATTTTAATTGCATCATTTTGACCCCTGAAATATTGAATATGTTTTTATATAGTTTTTCAAGCAGACAATATATAAATTACTAACGTTTTTTGATCATAAACTTGTCATATAATACCTAAATATGGATAATAAATAATATGGATAACTTTTAATCAAAATTTGAGTCGTTGTTGACCAAAATATGTAATATGAGTAGCTTTTAACCAAAATTTAGATCTCATGATCAAAACTGTATAATTTGGGTAACTCTTTGACCAAAATTTGTGTAGAAATTTAGTCAAAAGTTATCCAAATTATTTTTTTACCCATATTTAAGTATCACGTGACAAGTTTAAATAAAAAATCATGAACAATCTGGACATTGTTTGCTTGAGGGACTACATAAAAATATATTCAATATTTCACGGACCAAAATGATGCAATTGAAATATTGAGAATCAAAATGAGACAAATTCCATATTTTGGGGTCTTCAATCCAATTAACCCTTTCACTTGTGGTCGCTTTAAAATTTAGTTATAAATGAAAAGTAAACTGAAAATTCATGTGCAAATTTTTCTTTTTTTTTTATTTGCAGGCGAAAGGTTCTCACTGTCGCAATACATGACAAGATTTTCTGTTATATATTTGTACTCGTGTCTTGTTGTGGACTTACATTTTAACAATTGTATTGGTATATATATAGAGATAGAGATGAGTTTTTCCACCTCTAATCAAATTTTTCTTATTCATGTTGATAAATAATAGGTGAAACTAATCTATCAATTTTGTATCAAGTCTGTATTGTATCAAAAATTAGTATCTCTCAAGTCGAGATTTAATGAAAGATGAGAATTTTCAAAGTGTCAACTTTATAAAAAGAATTAAAGTAGCAACTATCCCATTAGGAGTAGTCAACACCAAACTACTTTAGAGATATAAAATAAACACTAATGACAAAATGTAGAAAGCAAAGTAAAACTCCAATTGCTAAACTAATAAACATTTGTTTTCATATTTGTACAGAAAAGAACAATTTTGGTCATCGCCGGCTGTCAAGGAGATTGCGAGTGGTGGTATACCATTGTTGAGTAACACAAAAACATATAGAATTATAATATCTAAGGGAGGTGAAATGTTGAGTAGATTGGTTTTGATGAAATTGAGACGATGATACTTTTTGAGAGTCCTTTTCAGACGAGTAAAATATGAAAATTAGACGCATTTTTTTCTTTTTCAATATTTCATGAGATTATAAAACTAGTAATTCAAGGCCCATGCCAAAAATCGATTTGAGTTCTAGTGGACAGTTTTATATCTTAAGTTGATATCTGTCTCACTTGCTTGAGCTAGGTGATGAACCCTCCAATTTTCTTGTGTTATCGACTTTGCTCAACATTGATCCTCTACCATATTTTCTTAGGCAGCGAAACACTAAATTTTCTAAGTAGTTACACATTTTTTATTTTATACTCCTTCGATAGAGTCAAAAATCATTTCGTAAATTGTCTTGTGTTATGTCCTTTTCTCTCAATCCTTTACAATGTTATGGTGACAATTACTAATACATTAAAACCTTATGCTATCCATTTGGTAGTAGGGATGAAAAAATAAGAAGAATAAGGGGTGTTTTCAAACCTATTTTTTGTATTCAAAATCTCAAAAACATTCAAAATCCATTTGATTAGCATTTTCGTTCTCAAATTTTTGAAAAAAAATGAAAAACAAGGCTGGGTTGTTTTTTGAGTTTTATCCTAAAAACTGTGAAAACACGGAGGTTATGGGCACCGTTCGCTTTTGCACCAAGTATAAACATCTTCCAGCGAGTCACCGGCGTAGCTCCGACGAAAACAGTTGGGAATTAATGTTTAGCTCCAGCGAAAACAACAAAACACAACAGGGAACTTTCTTAGTAGCAAAACACAATTTTTTTCGTTGAAATATAAAAAACCTCCACTTAAACGTTTTCTCCTTCAAGATCTCCTCTCTCTCTGTGCAATGTTTGCTGTGCTGCTTCAAGATCTCTTCAACAGAGCAACGAAGATCTTTGACGGACAGGGAACAAATTTGTAACTCATAAAGGCAACTCACACACGATCTGGGTTCAAGAACTCCGACGATCGATCTCTGACGTCTTCTCCGTCCTCTCCGGCATCTTTTTTTTTTGCATTTGGGTTCAACATCTCCTTCTCTTTTTCTTTTTTTTGGCATCTGGCTTCAGATCTTGAAAAAGATCTTAGGTGGGCTTTTTTTGGGAGATGATCATTGTGTGCATCTGGATTCAAATTTTTGAAGATGATCACTGTGTTTCTTCAACAAAGATTGAACTTTTTTCTTCTTTTTTCATTTTTGTATTTTGGGTGGGCATCTGTCTTCATATTTTTGGAGATAATCCTTGTGCTGCTTCAACAGAGATTGAACTTTTTTCTTCTTTTTTCATTTTTGTATTTTGGGTGGGCATCTGTCTTCATATTTTTGGAGATGATCGTTGCTTTTACAGAGATTGAGTTTTTTTTGTATTTTATAAAGTTTAATATATTAAAATATTTTATATGAAATCACCGATCCAAACAGATTTTTTGTTTTTTATTTTATAAAACTATTTTTAGAATTATCTTATCAAACAAGTTTTTCGTCTCAGCAAACATTAAAACAATTTTATTAAATTTTTTTTTAAAAATTATTTTTAGATACTATTTTTAAGATGCAAATCAAGCAGGTCCTAAATTTTCCATCCTTAAAAGAAAGTTTTTTTAAAAGAAAGAAAGTGTTTTTCCCTTCTTTATGTTTGATAAAAAAGATGATAAAGGAATTTTTTTTGCTATTTTTTTGTATGAAAAAACAAAAAATAAATAAATTATTACTAATTAAATACCATAAATGTCGTTAAATAGTTATGGATATTATACTATCAATCACTAGACGTAGCATCAAAGGACTAAATTGTCAATAAGTATTAATAAAAGTTGCGGACTCCATTGCCGACACATTTGGCAATCACTTTTTGTCATTTTCCTCTCATATTTATAGTGATCCAATTTGGTGGGTGGAAATGATTCTTTTTCCATCCCATTTCTCTCTCTCTTTTCATTTTTAAATAACTTGAGATATAATTTAAGGACATAATGAATTGTCACCAATAAAATTATAATAAAATATATTTAATGATGGATCACATTGTAACAGTAAATGAATTCACCATCATTTCATTGGTGACAACTTATTATGTCTCAATAACATTGCTTTTTAAATAAATATAGGGTCCATTTAATTAGGAAAAAAATATGGTGAAAAGTAAAAGAGATAGAAAGTGAAATAAAAGAAAAAAAAATGAAAGAAAATATATTTTCATGTATGTATTTGGTTAGCATGAAAAAGTTCTAAGAATATTTTAAAACAATCTCATTCCACTGTTTCAAAAAAAAAAGGAAAGTTATAAAAGAATTTTTTTAATTGTCTAAATTATCCTTAATTATTTTAACTTGGTCTAAAGAAGAAAAAAATATTTTTTATTATTCAAATTTTAAAAAAAAATTGACTCCTAACCTAATTTAAGAACAAAAATCGACTCGAACCTTAATCTCTAGACAAAATTATATGATTAGCCTACTTTATATATATATTTTTTAAAATTAATAACTAATTGAATATTTTAAGAAAAATAAGGACAAATGGATATTTAGGTTATTAAACACAACTTTCTTATTTTTCCTTATGTTTTTTGCAAAAAAAAAAAAATTAGTTAGATTTGAGAAAATCTAAACATGAGATAAAATTATTTTTTTTTATCATTTTATATTTCATACTAAACAAACGTATGTAAAATTTTTAAATTTTTTTTTTGTGTTTTCTAGTATTATTTTACTAAATAAATGGACCCATAAAAAAATTATTTTTTCCACCATACTTTTTTATCTACCGTTTTTCATTCAACTCCTTTTCACCCACACCAAACAGCTGCTTGGAGAGCTGTTGATCCCCCAAAGCATAACCATTGGATCGTACACCAACAGCTATACAATGGGCCATTGGTGTCCATAAAAATCGAAGTATGGAGAGAAAGATAAAAGATATTATTCAAGAACAAAGTCAAACGCAAATGATCTAATCATGTGAACCACTGGCATAATCAAAGACCTTTCAAGAGATTAGTTTGAAAAAATGAGGTATACTTTTATTTTGAGAAGCAATCATTGTTTTTAGTGGAAATTCACCTTATGCTTTGGCCTTAACAGCCATGGAGATTAAATGTGGGGTAGATATACACCAAGTAAATTAGTAGTTTTAGCTCTCTTTATATGTCGGCTAAAGGTCAGTATCCACTTTGCAACTTGTCAATGGAGCGAATTTAATTTGAATTTAATTTGAATCTGAGTCTATTTAATTAGACAAAGATTAATATTTTAATTTGAAACGAAGATTTAGATACTTGCCTATTTGATACTTACATATTTAGATACTTATCTATATAATAAAGTAATTTACAATTTAAATCTCAAAAAATAAACAAAAAGATTTTTGCTATTCGCAGTTGAGATCGTTTTAAATTTTACTTTAAAGTTAATCTAATGACAAATATTAACACCTTAAATTTAAAAGGAATAATAGAGGTCTAAGGGTGTGTTTGAAATGACTTTTTAAAAATACTTTTAAAAATTATTTCCATAAATACTTAAAAAAAAATAGTGTTTGAAACTGTTTCACCACTACCTCTACCACCACCACTGTCGTCGTCGCCACCACCCCTGCCTCCACCATCACCACCACTCCCACTAACCCCACCATAACCGTCGTCGTCGTCGCCACTACAACCACTGTGGTCGCCGCCACCACCTCCACCATTGTTGTTGTCGCCGCCACCACCATCACCATCGCTGCCGCCCTCACCACCACTATCCCCACCTACCGTCTCCTATCACCACCACCTCTTACCCCCACTACAAATCGATGCTTAAATTCATTTATCTCTTCTTTATACTTGTAATTTGATTTTAGTTATGAATACAAATATGTTTTGTGAGGGATCTACCTCCCCATTACCGGGGATATACCTCCCTCCAAGAGCATTTCCTCCCCATTACCGGGGATATCCCGCTCTCCACCAAAGGATTTCGGCTAACCTGCGGGTCAAACCCCCACAGTAACCTTTACCTCTGTCCCACATCGGGGAAAGAGTCGTCTCCCCAACCCCATATAAGCCGAAGCACCATACTTGGATACTGCTCTCATATGGTGCTTCGGCTTATATGGGGGTGGGAAGACGACTCTTTTCCCGATGTGGGACAGAGGTAAAGGTTACTGTGGGGGTTTGACCTGTAGGTTAGCCGAAATCCTTTGGTGGAGAGCGGGATATCCCCGGTAATGGGGAGGAAATGCTCTTGGAGGGAGGTATATTCCCGGTAATTGGGAGGTAGATCCCTCACATGTTTATTGTTTACCATTTTTTTATTACTATGTACCTTCAGGTACAAGTAAAAATTAGTTTATATAATAAAGTAGTTCACAATTCAAATCTTAAAAGATAAACAAAATGACTTTTGCTATTCGCGATTGAGATAGTTTTAAATTTTACTTTAAAATTAATATAATGGCTAACATCAACACCTTAAATTTAATAAAAAAAATAGACCATTAAGGTGTGTTTGCAGTGACTTTTTAAGAGTATTTTTAAAAATTATTTTTCATAAATACTTTTAAAAAAAATAGTATTTGAAATCGTCCCACCACTACCTCTACCACTACCACCACCACCACAACCACCACTGCCAGTGTTGCAGCCGTCACCACCACCACCACCGTCATCACCGCTACTGTCACCAGACTCACCACCACCCCCACCATTGTTGTCGTCGCCATTGTCACCACCAACCCCACCACCACTGTTGCCGCCGCCACCACCATTGTCGTCGTCGTCGCTACAACCACCGTCGTCGCCACGCCCACCAACGTCGTCGCCACCACCACCACTGCCACTGCCACTGCCGCCATGCCCATCGCCTCCACTATCGCCATCACCATTGTTGTCATCGTCATTGCCGCCGCCGCCGCCACCATCGTCGCCGTCGCCGCCACCATCGTCGTCGTTGCCCTCGCCACCACCACGGTCATTGCCACCGACCACAACCATCACCGTCTACTACCACTACCACTGTCGCTAATCATCTCTCACCCCCATTACAAACCGATGCTTAAATTCCTTTATTTATATTTGTAATTTGATTTTTGATATGAATAAAAATATGTTTATTGTTTATTATTTTTTATTTCTATGTGCCTTTAAGCACATACAATAACTAGTATATATATATAGACACACACACACACATAGCTACATGGAAAATGTTTTTTGTACTTAATTTAATGACCTTCTCTAGTGATACGATAGATCATAACTATTAAATTGATAATATGTCTTAACTAATAGTGGAGTTCACTGTCAATCTAATAGTAAAGAATGATAAAGTCACCAAAATAGATCACTAAATTAGGTATAAAATGCATTTCGCATGTAACTAAGTATGTATATATATATAATAATTTCTCTAATATTGCCTCAATTAGATTATTAATGAGATTGACATGAAATTAGATAAAAATTATTGAATAAAATGATTTTAGGTTAGAGTTACCTTAAATTGGGTAAAATTATTATTTTTTATAAAATTTGTTGGGATTAAAATTTTTAGATCAGATCAGATATTCGACTATTAACAGATATGGATATAGATTAAGATTTTGAAATCACTCGAGTAAACGAAATCGATTTGGAACTAAGATTTTTTTATTAAATTTGGATCTGAACAGATCAAGATCCGATTCCAATCCATTAACGGCCCTAATTAAGAGTGTTGAATTGATGACAGATTTAATCGTTGACATTATTTATTGAGACTAGTTGTTCTCATACTCAAATTTTATTATATTTGGTCATCACCTTCTCGATTCTCTCCCACCATCGCTAGGCCGTTTCTTCAAATTACCAATGCCAAAAAAATAGTTTCTCTCTCTCTCTCTCTACCCTCCAACACACACACACTACTGTTACTATAAATTCCCTAGCAGCTTAGGTGATTGACCAAGGTACTAAATATATAGTGCACCCAATAAATAATACTAAGCGTGTGTGATGCTTATGTTCCACACACTAACTTTCACTAAAGCATTTGATAATTGACAGCAACAACCAACAAGCATTAGTCCACTATGAGTTTAATACGTCACTTGTTTCTTCAGATGAATCCTTATCTTTTTTTCCAACTTTTAGTTCTTTAGGTAATTTAAGTCATTTTTGTAATCCACATTCTAATACGACGAAGCTTTGATAATGGTGTGGTATATACCAAAAAGTTAGTGACCAACCCGTATGGGTATGGGTTAGTCCAGAGGTCGAACAAAGACCAGAGACGAGGTATAAACTTACACGTTTTGAGTTTGTGTTTTTTTAGTTGCATAAAATAGAGTTCAACTGATGTGTGTGGTTCGTCGGTTTGTAGGTGATTATGTATATTCGAGATTTGCTTTGATATCATGAATTTAAATGATACATGATTGAGACGATTCTCGGTTACCAAAAAAATTAGTGAGCATATTAGTGATGGAGATTGAATATGTGACTGCTTATAAGAGTGGATTAGGGAAGTGCAATAGAAACTGAATACATTTGTGGTAAGTAAAGAATGCCTCCACCTACAACTTTTAGAATGCCATCCACGTCGATCACAGTAGGCAAAGCTTCTAGGCAACCACAATCTCATATGAAAGGAATATTCAAATATGACACTTCGAGGGACGGATCTAGGATTTTGCCTTTTGAAAGGTCTTTACGGGTATATTTGGAAAAATAAAACGAAGTTTGAGGGGGAGGGGCGACGATTACTTCATAAATTATACGAGACTAGTAGATTTTTCGAACCTTAGGGTAGGTGGCATCCTCTATTTTCGACATCTTTGTTTGTTTCAAAATGAAGGTGGTAAAAAGTTGGACAACTGTAGTTGGATTGACAGCAAGTCGCGACACCAAGATGGCCTTGTCCCAACAAAATGTCCATCTAGTCCATGTGGAGAGTTTTCCATTTTTCTCTCTAGGTTGGGGGCAACTACAAGGTTCCCTTCCTTGTTTCTCATGAATTTTGACTTTCCTAAACAACAAATACAGCACCAAAACCTCCAGATTATAGTCACTCCTATGCATCATTTTTCCAAACACAACCTGTTCTACAATCAAAACAACTCTTGTTGCAGAGCCTGCTGTCTAATACAGTGCTGCAAACTGCTGAAAGTTAACGATCTGTTGGATCGACAGTGGATCACATCCAATATTATGACCCACTCTTGATCTAACACTAGTAGTATATTATGTAAGCAAATTAGATTCAAATAACATAACACGGATTTTAGTGATTGAACATGCAGATGAAGGTGCCAGACAATGCAAATCCAATAAGATGTCCCGTTTACACCACTGAGGGGGCAAGAGACTTGGGAATGCAGGCGATGTCATATTGGGGCACTCTCTGGAATCAACTAGATAATGTAATATGCACCCTTTGAGGCTGAAAACATGAGTATTTTTATTTTTCAGTACTCAAGACCTGGGACTAATGCTCATCCTACAAAATTCACATGTATTGCAGAGTGATCTGTGATCCAGTGGACTGAATGATAATGCAGATCTGTGATCCCTTACATGTACTGCTAACTAACCCTCTGCATCATAGCCTAAGTTTAGTGATCGAACATTTAGCGAGATATAAAACTGCATATCCCAAGTTCAAGTCCTCGTGATGGTAATCCACCAAAAAGTTAGTTTTGTACAACTACCACCATAACTGTCCTCCTATTCAAAATCCCCACCCAATTCTACACCCAGTTTTTGCACCCTAATCTTGTTCAACTTTCTGTTCAAATTTTTGAAGGGTTTTCACATTTTAATTGTGTTCCAAGGTTGGCTATCTCCTTCCAGTCTGATGATTTAGCTATTGGGTTGATCATTTATGAAATCATAAACTCAAAAACAGTCACCCTCTGCAAACCCATCGCTGTAATTGTTGTTATAATGTTGATTCTTTATTTGGGGAGTCTTTCTCGTGTTTCTAGCCCGTTCTGTGTTTGCACAATCCACAATTCCAACTATAATTTCCTTAAGAACCAACCACAACTTCTCAATACTCCTTTTAGGGTATCTACATAACTTGATTGTCCCATATCCTGTTTATAATCGGAAAAAAAGATCATCTCTGTATATCCTAGTTCTTATTTCAGATTTTGTCTTAGAATTTGTATGGTTGCATCTGTTCTCAGTATCAGTCTACCCTCCATTGAAAAGAAAAGTCCAAAATACAGAACAAAGTAACACAGGTTCAGAAGAATATTATTCAATACAGATGCCTACAAACCCATAAAAGTTATGTGCATTCGTAAAAGAAAAAAGAGGCAGAGGAGAAGAAGAAAACTGACGCTAAATTTTATTGAAAAAAAATGGGTAAAAACATAACCACATCTGCTTACTTACGGGGATGAAAAAATTGCAGTAAAGAATAACATGTATGTGTGTGTGTATATATATGTGCCAAAAATGAACCTAGATACAAACCTAAGCTGGATAAACTCTCTGAATTTGGACCCAAATCTCTGCCAATGATGACCAGGACCTCCCTTAGCTAGTCAGCTACTAAAAAACTCTGTACTGTAATCTTGACTACCAAATGCCATCCTGTGAAACAATCTTATTTCTGCGGATTGTTGTGCCGAGTTAAATATTTCACTTTCACCCACTCTCATACCATTTGTTAGATCTGAGGTAGCCATACTGTCGAAGGCTCTCACAACCTGAGAAGCAAAAGCATGCTAAAAGTAAGAACTCAACCACTTCAATGTCCTACGATCTATTCTAGCTAGGGAAATTTTCCAATTAATTGCCAATCTGAAAAATAGTTACCTGCCCCATCTGTGGTCTCTTTGCAGATGAATGTCGCACACAAGCTGCAGCTACCTCAATCATCCGAAACATTTCACTATCAACAAAGTTTTTTCCAAGCCTTGGATCTGCTAACCCTTCAAATTCCTCGGTATCAAGTGCCTGATTAAGCAAAGGTCGAGCCTGAAAGAAAACTTGATAATTTTCAGTAAAGAATGCGGAGCATGAATTTTACAGGTTTTTTTTATCACAATATGTTTGGGCATTCCATCCTGTTTCACTGCCCTATCAGTTCATACTAGTGTCAAAATAATGCCCACCTTTTACAGGAAATGCTATAAAGAAGGTCTACATTTTAGCACAACTAGGTAGCTGAAAAAGACACTAACACTCCAGGGGGATCAGTGCTTGGTGCTTAAGGGCTGTTATAGGGGACTTCATTTGACCTGATACACATTCCTCTGAATCGAAAATCAAATGTTTCAAATATGGGATGAAATTTGCGGTGATGTTTCAAATTTGGGATGAGAGGCTACTTCCTGTGCAGGATTCGAGACATCTTTAAGCGAGGAGAGGGCATATCTAATGACTTTGCATAAGGGATATATTAGGATTCCTCAAAAGTGTATCTGCTTCAATCATTTTTGGCTATTTTATTAATTAGGAGGGTTCTTCATGAACATTCTTAGGAGGCACAATGTTTGTGTGTATGATTTTAAAGAATCGACTTAATAATTTGGGAAGTGGTAACAGACCAAGGACAGCAAACAAGTGGCTCATCCCAACACAAAAGTACTAGGATTGTGAATTCTTCAGTGGTTCTGATGGTAAAGGAGAATTTGCAGGAGGATTAGATGAGGGTGGTGGTGTCCTAGCCGGTGGATTAGAAGATGGAAGTGGTGATGAACTAGAAGGTGGATTAGACAGAGGTGATGGGGAATTAGGAGGTGGACTGGGTGAAGGTGGTGGTGGCAAGCTAGCTGGAGGATCAGATGGTGGAGGCGGCAAACTCTTTGGTGGAGTTGATGATGGAGGTGGAGGAGAACTTGGAGGAGGATTTGGCGGTGGAGAATTAGAGGATGGGAGTGGCACTGGCACAATGTCTGAAGAAAGAGTAGATTGAGAAGGAGGTGGCGATGTTCTTTTCTTAATTTACGTGCCCATTATTTGATGTATTCATCCCACACCTATCCATGTTTGTGCAGATCATAGAGTTGATCAATTTAATGAGCTGACATCATTGTTTATATATGGTTAAGCTGATAAAATTTTCATAAAGATCAATGAGATTGTGGTTTTCCAGATTTCAATAACGACAGTGGAGTAATTTTAATCTGAACTGTTGAAAAATTCATCACAAAGAAATTTCACCTTTGATCCGTGGACGCATTCTATATTTATTCTACAAATATGTCATTCTCAGGACTGTCTTTACCCCATTTGTGATTCAACTAAAACAAATATGTCAACCCTACAAGTTTCTAATCAGAACTGAGATTTTAGAGCAACAGGTGCATTGTACTGTTTTGAACAAAAGAGTCACCGGGTATGGCAACTTCCTGCAATTGAAATTTTGTCATAAGGTGTGCAACATTTGTACGATTATTGAGCAACAACAATTTACCAAGTACCATTTACCTAAAAAAAAATAAAAATACGACGTGCCCTGAAGTGAGGCCAAGAGCTAGAACAAAACTATAATGGGATATTCAAGAGCATGCCTATGCCACTATCTTGCAGAAGCGGAAGCACTAGCTAATAGGCCCGTAAAAATTAATCATTATTCATGCGTTCCAAATATTGGGTAGAAACTTGAAGCATTGGATTAAGTTTCAGGGTACTAAAGGAAAACATATAGCAAACTTCACATCAATAAAACTTACCCACTCCACTAGACTCTCCTCTCCCAAGGGTTGAGATACATCCACAGGCTTGCGCCCAGTTATTAGCTCCAGAAGCACAACGCCAAATGAAAACACATCCGATTTCTCAGTCAACTTGCCACTTGATGCATATTCAGGAGCCATGTATCTGAAATTGAACCAATGACAAATTTGAGAAAACATGGGTAATATATGCTGTGGGCATGAATAAGTTTTATGAGAATTCAATATAACAATCATAAACAAACTGCCTACCCAAAAGTTCCCATCACACGTGTTGTGACATGTGTATTTGCATCCAGAGCTAATTTAGCAAGCCCAAAATCAGAAACCTGTAAAGTCGGAAATAAAAAAGGTAAAGCCATGTTGTAGCAGATAACATTATAAGAAATACAAAATCAAGAGTTAGACCTTACGAAACCATAAAAACCTTACCTGAGCTTCAAAGTTGTTATCTAAAAGGATATTTGATGACTTAATATCTCTATGGATGATACGAGGATGGCCTGACAAAAAAAAAATAAATGAATGAATTACGAAGCCAACCTTAATAATAAAAGGATAATACTCGAAATCAACAACCATTCAAATTTTAAATTTGCATTGCAGGAAATTTTTATGATTCAAGAAACTCAAGTCTATCAGAAATTTATTTCTATTAATTTTATGCGGATTGTTCAATATTTTAAGATAAGAGATCACTCCCGATCAAGATAACTTCATGTCCAATATCATTACATTTTTTGGAACAAAGAGATGATTACTGAATATGAAACTGTAAACCTCAGAGGTTAGATAATGTATTTAAAGATGAAAAAAGGCAATTACAAATATCCTGCAGTTTTAAACTTTAATGTGTCAGAACAAAGTATTGTCTTTTTTTTTTGGGAAAGTGAATTTGACATAATGTGGAGAATATGATCTTCACATATATTTTACGTGTTGCGACTTATTTAACAGAAGTGTGGCTTTGCCTAATCAAGAAAGTTTTTGACATAATTTGATGTGTTAAATATCGTAAGCATTTGATCAATCACAGTACGCTAGTCTGAGGTCATGACTGACACTGAAATCGCATGTAAAAACCAGAGTCAATTCTTGTCATTTAAGAAATTAAAAAATAAGGATGATACTCTTTCTCTTTTCCTAATCAAGAATGAACATTTTCCATTGATAAACCTTAAAAAACAGACGGGAATAGATAATTACAGTCTTCATGTAGATAAGCTATTCCACGAGCTGCACCAATAGCAATCTTTACACGTGCTGCCCAATTCATAACAGGCCTACCTTGTCCTGCAAAAGGCAAGGAGTAGCAGCATATGTTGGTCACCCTAAATCACAAATAAAACCTTCAAATCTTCAAAATTAGAATTTACCTTGAAGGTGGAAGTAAAGGGTGTTGTTAGGAACATAGTCATAAACAAGCAGCCTGTGGTTTTCAGAAATGCAGTAGCCCACTAATGAAACCAAATGGCGGTGGTGTACGCGACTTATAATCTCGACTTCAGCTTTGAATTCTCGCTCCCCTTGCCCCCCACCAATTTTTAGCTGCTTGATTGCTACCTCTCTCCCATCCTCTAGGCATCCTTTGTAAACACAACCAAATCCACCTTCGCCCAATAGATTCTGCGCTGAAAACCCATCTGTAGCTGCAGCTAATTCTTCATAAGTACACCATGACCTTGAATTGCCTAATCCGCCTGGATCTGTTGGTGAATATACAAAATCACTGCCAGAACCACTTCCAACAAGAGGTGCTGAAGTATGCAACTTTAACACAGCCGCATCTGGACACAATAGACAAACTTCCAGACATTTATCTTTAATGGTCTCAAATACATAAAATTTGGCATACATTCTTTAGAAAGCATGGGCAACGGCAAGGATTATTATGCCTTATGTTTTCGAACATTCAGAATTACATTCAATATTTCCTGTCCAAGCGTTTTATCCGAACAGCAGTTCAAGGTCATTGATGGTCTCTAAGGTTGTGTACTGCCCAACTATATGATAATGATAAAAAAAAAAAAAAAAA